CGTAGGCTTTTCTCTTTCCTTCTAGTTGTAGAATTTCCACTCAGCCAGCCTTCCTGTGGTTCTGGGTGATGTCCGTTCCGTCTTTTAGTTGTATTTTTGAAGTGGTTGTTCGAGGCAGCAAACTTCAGTGTTTACCTATGCCGCCATCTTGGGTGTCTCTTGAAAACAATTTAATAACTCCATAACAAAATTATATTCTGTGTGTTATCTTCTGAAGTACTTAGCAATTTGTGGCAGATACTGTTTGTGAATAAAAGAGCAGGAATATTACTTGTACCTGATGGTAGAATATAAGCTCAGAGGAAGAGTCCTGACACAGGGTTTCTCCTTGGTTTAGCTAAAAGCAGTTAAAGGGAAAACACACTTGCTGAATGAACAGTGGCCTCTATTGGCCTGAGGAACTATAATTTCATTAGTACTTTTAACAACCAAAGCAAACATTTCTTTTTTTCAGTAACATCTTGGCAACTGAGGTAGTAGAAATTAATGATAATATTATAATTGTTGAGGATTTTTTATATGCATGCAAAAAAGTTTTAAATTTTTTTGTAAAAGTATTTTCTTTTAGTTTTAAAAGTAAAGTATTTGTTGCTTTAGGATAACTGCTCTATGAGTAATTAAGGAATACTCATATTACTTTTCCTTCACTTTCACTTACTTCAATCATTCGGAAGGTTCTTGTTTATTTTCTTGTTTCTTTTTCAATGTCTGTGATTTTTTCCCCTTGTCTCTCCAGTCCAGGCAATCCTTTCTTATCTCTTTGATTTTCAATATAGTTTTTTCACTGGTCAGCTATTGCTTTTCTTTAAATTGTAAGTCATCATTTTCTTTATATATCATTTCTTAATGCATATAATAAAAGATTAATAATATATCAGGTTTTTTTTGTGTGTGTGTGTTTTGTTTTTGTGTTTTTACAATTGACAAGAGATTCATTTAGGGAAATTATTTGTCCTTGATTCATAGCAAGATATTGGCATATCCAGTGCAAGAACTTAGTTCTTTGGATTGTCAAACCCATTTAGCCCACAATTATTTTTAGTATTATGTACTATCTTCTTATTTTGGCATTCAGAGCCAGCATTTGGTCCAACCAGTAATGACCTATCTCATTATGCCATTACTAGAGGCCTGGTGCACAACATTTGTGCACTGGTGGTGATGGGGGGGGGTGGGTCCCTCAGCCCGGCCTGCGCCCTTTAGCAGTCCAGGAGCTGTCAGTCGGACTTCCTTAGCACTGCCGTGGAGGCAGGAGACGCTCCTGCCACCGCCACTGCGCTTGCCAGCCGTCAGCCTGGCTTGTGGCTGAGCAGCACTCCCCCTTTTGGAGTGCACTGACGACCAGGGGGCAGCTCTTGTCTTGAGTGTCTGCCCCCTGGTGGTCAGTGTGCATCATAGTGACCAGTTGTTCTGCCGTTCGGTTAATTTGCATATTACCCTTTTATAATATAGGAATAGGATAAGTGCGGACAAGCTGCCCTTTGCCACTGTTAAGATCATTATTCTTTCTTACTCTTTCTGTTAATTTTTACCATTTTCTACATTATATTCTTCTTTCAGTCTCAGCTCAAATTTCAGATATTCCCCTTAGAGAACTCTGTCTAATTCCTTTATAGAAGTTTACAAATTATTACCTACTCATTAATATGTTTATATCTGTTTGTCCTATCATGCCTAAAAAGGTTATTAAACTTTTCTTTAAAGAGAGATGAATTATATCACTTTTTCTTTATTGAGTACTCAGATTTTTGAGAAAAGTATTTTCTGATTTGCACAGAATTAAAGAGTTTCTTTGCATATATTTCCCTGGAAAATAAGATTTCATTTGTAAAAAAAATAAAAATTAAAAATAAATAAATTATAGGTATTCTTTTTCCTAGCACTTGAGCTTCATAGATTAAGATTTTATACTTTAAATTCTAGAAGTCATCTGATCATAAGCATCCTTTTATAAATGAGGAAACAAGCACTGATAAGATTGATTTGGCCAAGTTAATCTATAATAATAAAAGCATAATATGCAAATAGACTGGCTGAACAGCGGAACAACCTTCTATATTACATTCAGGACAAAGCCAGGACTGTGAGGGCCAAGGTAGCCGCCGCAGCTATGAAGGCCTACTCTTGCACGAATTTCGTGATCGGGCCTCTAGTAGTTTACTAATGGTAGGTTTAGCTCTGAGAGCCAAGTGGCCTGGCTTCCTAACTACCTTTCCAGAATACATTACGTTTTATTTTGAGGAAAATTTTTCTTACAAGCTCCTTATAAGCATAATAATAGATCAATAAATATTAAAATACAAATTAATATCATAAGAAGTTATAATTTTGTCATCTAGAAAGATCAGTTTTCTATACCCCCTTTCCCTTCTCTCCTATTCCAACATTTCTGATGAATAGAAAATACTGATTAAGAAATGAATGTGAGAATTTTGTAGTTTCTATAGTCATTGGAAATCTATTTTATGGTTGTGGAGCAGTATCTTATCATTTCATTTGAACCTTGTAATACTGCATAATGCTTCTTAAATAACATAAATCATGTGTAAGTACTCTAGTCAGTACAGATCTTTCCTTTGACCCTTTATAAGACTTAACTGGGTATCTTTAATTTAGTTATATTGCATCCTCTAATTGTTTCATAGTAAAAGTCTTATTTTTCAACAGGATTATAAATGCAGTAATATCTAGGACAGGTTAATTATCCCAATATTTTATCACCACCCAAGTAAAAGAAAACATTTTCTTCTACTCCCACTTCAGGAATTTATTTTGAAATACTTCATCTACCCAATAGTCTTTATTTATTAAACAGTCATTCACTACATAATTGTTTTTTTTTCTGTTTCCCTAACTGAAGATACATGTTATCTATTTTCAGTTTTCCAAATGTTATTGCCAATTAGAGTTTTCACTTAAAGTGAGATTCATCTGAAGTTTATCACCAGAGACATGCTATTTCTATTGTAAAATTTGAAATACTAAAGATAGATTATAGATTATTAACTTTGCCTTTTGGAATAGCAACAAATGATGGCTACAGATAGGGAGATTATCAGACATTAATTACAGCAAGTGAGAAAGAATGGGGAGCCACGTCAGTGAGTTTGATGGGGATGAGAGTAGAGATAATGAGGTAAATGGGTATATGGAGAAGGAAGTCAGGAATGCAATAGTACAGTAGTGTGTTGATAGCTGTTGTCCCCACTAATATACTATGTCTAGGTATCGAGAAGTGTTTGAAATGTAGATTCTATTCCTGAGGAGCTTAGTATCTCAGAAACATTAAATTTTGTTGGTCAACTAATTTATGATCTGGACTATCAGGGAAAAAAGCAACACTTTTTTTTATAGTAATGATATTAACATCAGTTGCATCAATTATTAGTTATATTAATTATTTGAAATGTTCATATGAAGCAGAAGATTAAAAGTGATGCCTAAATCTTATAAAAACTCTATAATCTTAAAAACCTCAAACCAAGCAAAGTAGGTTTTAAAAATGTATTATGAAGTAAGTAACTTCTTTTTCTGGTTTCTCCCTGTTACAGATGATTACTGTGAATGCTTCCTTGTTTCCTAGCTCTGTGGCCAACTCATTAATAGCAGTTGGAAATGATGGACTTCAAGAAAGAGACAGAATGGTCCGAGCATGCATTGCTATTATCTGTGAACTAGGTTAGAATTTTAAGTAATAAAACTGTAGTATTTTAGAAAGAATATGTAACATTCCTTAATGTCTTTAACACATAAATTCTTTAGTTATTGGAACAAAGATATGAAAAAGTAGTACACATTACTGATAGGAGAATGGAGGACTTGCTATTTAACAAATAATTCTTAAGTGACCTTAACACTATAACTTTTAAAGTTTTTCTCATCATGAAATTTAGTACATAAGAATTGTACAAATTCTGGTAATTAAAATCAAATCTCTTTAAGTCTGTCTTTCAGACATTTGTTAACCATACTATATCTTAATATCTTGGTGTGAGTTAAAAGCAATAATCTATCATACATTTTTTTTAAAAAAAAGGAATTCTAAATGCAAAAAGATTAAAGAGTTAAATGGGATGCCCTAGCTGGTTTGGCTCAGTGGATAGAGCGTTGGCCTGTGGACTAAAAGGTCCCAGGTTCGATTCTGGTCAAGGGTACATGCCTGGGTTGTGGGCTCAATCCCCACTAGGGGGTGTGCAGGAGGCAGCTGATCAATAATTCTCATCATTGATGTTTCTATCTATCTCTCCCTCTCCCTTCCTCTCTGAAATCAATAAAAACATATTTTAAAAAAATGAGTTAAATGGGGAAAACAGAAAAGTGGACGAATATTTGCTGATCATTGTAAGGAACAGGAATTTTGAATTACAAAGAAAATCAGATTTCAGCTGCTTCAGATTTTATTGTAAGAAGGCAAGAAAACATCCTACAATGAAAGAACAAAGAAAATAAAAAGTAACAAACATGATAAGTAAATAACTTATTTATATACAAATCAATAGGAAAAACAGACGATTCTCAAAGCAATATATGCATGGCCAAACAACATATTGAAAAAGTTCAACCTCATGTTTGTGCACGCATACATTGAGGTGCCTGATCTTTGAAGAAAAGGAGTTCCTGAGCTTAAAATCTGAGTTTAAAATCGAAAGTAAAGTTACAAATCTGATGAAAGATTTGAAACAAAGGACTAATATTCCCACTATATAAAAAAGTCTTTTCAATTAATAGGAAAGAAAAACCATTCCAGTGAAATATGAACAAAGGATATGAAAAAACAATTTAGAGACATAAAAATTAAAATCAGAGGTTGGGGAAGTATATTCAGTGCCTCTTATTAGACACATTGTATCCACATGCCCTTTTCAATATCATTGACTAGAGAGTTTTCCAAGTCAGAAAGGAAATTGTTTTAAAATAAAAGCCCCGATTTCAGAATATTTTTTGTTAATTATCCCCTATATAATATATTAAGTTTTTCTTTTTTATTTTAGCACTTCAGAATCCAGAGGTGGTGGCCCTTCGAGGTGGACTAAACACCATCTTGAAAAACGTGATCGATTGCCAATTAAGTCGAATAAATGAGGCCCTCATTACTACAATTTTGCACCTCCTTAATCATCCAAAGACCCGACAATATGTGCGAGCTGATGTAGAATTAGAGGTAGGAACTTTAATATTCTTTACTAGTTTTAAAATGACTTTAAATACAACTCTCACTTCACAATTTTAAAGTAAGTAAATGCTGCAAAGCATTATCAAACCTAAATTTACTAATACTGGCTTATTCCTAGCAATATTCTATAGCTAAAGACTTTAATATGTTGTTTGTGAATAGATCTTGCTAAAAATACACCATTTATTTATCTAAACCATGCTAAAAGTCTCTGAACTTAGAAGCACTTGTTAGCAACTAATGACCATATATACTTGAAAGAAATAGAAGACATTAAAAATTTTTTTTTACTAATTCATTGTTTTTCATAGTTAGACTAAAATAATTAATCTTTTATAATAAAGTATATAGTGGAAGTTAGAACAGAATTACCACACACTATATTCTAATAGTTTATTTGTGTGACTATACTACATTGTTGTTTATTACAGATATCATTTAGAGTAAGTTTAAACTCACAATTTGTTTGTATTGGGGTTGAAATTATGCCAGGTATAAAAGATTTATTGTGCCCTAGTTTGTCTCTCTAAATCATTTTATATAAAATTTGCCCTAAATGTTAGTTTTGTTTCTCTTAGGGATATTAAAAATGTTTTAGATTATAACATTGACATTAGCTTATATCATACCAACAGATTTAAGTACAATATTCTTCTCTATATGTGATTTTAAATACATTACTTTAGGTAGTCCAATGGGAATAGACTGGCATTTTTTACATTTTACTGTATGTATAGCTTTACATTCTTTTGTGTGTGTTTTATTTTTAAAAATCTATAATTTTAAGATTGGCAAGATTATTATAGTGAAGGAAGATAATATGTGTAGGCCTCCTTTTTGTTCAATTGTAAAGCAGATTAAAAAGCCCAAAGTGAAAAATACTTCAAATAATATGTTAGATGTTTAAGTAGATGGCTATATCTTTGCTCCTATCTTGTTCTTTAAAACCACAAAATTAGTTTCTTTTTTCCTTAACAAGATCCCTCAGAATAGCACAGTGATTAAGCACATAGACTTTGGGCTGAACAGATCTGGTTTTGATTTTTTGCTGTATGACCTACTAGCTTTATGATTTGGGGCTATTTATTAGCCTGTCCTGGGCCCATTTATTCTTAGGTAAAATGAAGGTCATGGTTTATACCTTGAAGAGTTGTGAAGAATAAGTACTATAATAATAGCAGTAGCAGCAGCAGCAGCAGCAGTAGCAGTAATAATAGCAGTAGCTAATACTAATGTAAAGCTTATAATGAGTTAGGCATTATTTTCAAGTGCTTCTCATATATTAATTCTAATCTACATAAAATATTTTATTTAGTACTTGGCACAAAATAAATACCTAACTAATACTGGTTGCCTTGGATGGTACTCAACATCATCATCATCTACTTTATCATCATCATCTTTTACTTTAACATCTTCTTCATTGTAGGAACTGCAGCAAAGAGAATATTGTCCTCATTTCTATGTGTTAAATTTTATCAATTTTCACTGTAAATTGATAATTGGTTCCCTTTTCTACATACAAAAAAACAAAAAACATTTTCAGTGCTACTGTCTGTTGTTAGGCCCAAATCTTCCTCCTGTTAGAAACCCTTTTTTAAATTTACCCTGGCTTCTATTTATATTATATGTAATATGTTTTGATCTCAGGAAAAAATGTAGATTTAATATAATAATGTTAATAAAATAGATACTCTGTAAAGGTTGTAAATTAACTAATTTAAAGTAAATTTAAGAAACATTTATTAAACTTATACTTCAGAGTGAGATAGAGTAGTTCACAGCATCTGCTATGGAAAACAAGAAAAGGTGGGTATTTGTGGAATTCATACATTTAATTCAGTATAGAGCTGTGAAAGCAACAAGGACCAGGAAGGAAGGAAGATACTTGGAGAGTTTCCCTGAAGATCCATAGATGCCCTTGGGAGCACTTGCAGATTGGGCTAGCAACTAAAAATAGGACCAAAGCCTAGATAGAAGACCGGATTATTTGGCAGTCCTAGGGGTTATGGCATGACAAGCCTGGAGATATGAAAAGTCTACCAAGTCTGTCTTACCCCTCCAGACATTTGCTGAAATGAGAATCTGTGCAAAGTAGAAGCTACCATGTTAAAACCTGAGGAAAGCACAGTGGAATATGCTGCACTCTCCAGTGCATAGGATACAAAGGCCTAGGCAGGGGGCCATGAGCAAACGATGAAAGGCCTTTAAGAAGTAGTATACACTGATGATGCAATTGCTTTCTTTCCTGGGTCCAGTTACTGATCAGGATATAATTACAAGCTGAAAATCCACGTGGGTTTTTGCTGAGATCAGAAAAACAGGAGGAGCATTTGGCAGTTGTGTGTTACTAAAGTGACAAAACTGGACATTTCATAGCTGATTCCTGTTCTTGACATTTCCCCAAATCTAAAGCTATCCTGGATGGATAGCTAAAGATCTTTGTTCAAAACTTAAGAAAAAATAAACTCTAAGGAGAAAAATACTTGTTAAGCTTTCTATTGAAAGCACTGGAGGGCCATACTGTAGGCACAGGAAAATTGAAGTGTACTCACTATAGCTTATCAAAATTGCAACATAGTCTCAATTTAACTCAGTTGGTGATCAGGTAAAGATGATCAGTAGCCTTAACTTACAGAAACCATGTGAGATAATTAATATGTATTGTTTAAAAACAAAGAAAGAATGGCTAGAGGGAGTTCTCAATCAGAAGGAAAGTGATCTAAGACAGACAAGGAAATGGAGGAAGGAAAAAATATATATATGACTAAATATAAAAAAATACTGATTGTCAAAAACAATATCAGTGATGTCTTCTGTATCTTAAATTATTTAAAATTAAAATTCAGATCAGTAATGCAATAGGCAGTGAGAAACTTTAGAAAATGAGATAGAGTGGTTAAAGTACTAAAATTAGTGAATTTATAGCAAGGTTGCTAAATACAGGGACAATACACAAAAATAGCTTATATTTCTTTATACTAGCAACAAGAGCAGAATTAATTTATAAAGTAAAACCATTTAAATAATGTTCAGAAATAGGCAAAACTAACTCATAATGTTAGAGGTCAGGGTGGTAATCCTGGGGTCAGTAGTGACTTGTGAGTACAAAGGAGGGTAAGGAGGTTTTGAGGCTGCTGATGTTTTCTTCATCTGGTGCTGGGTAAAGGAGAGCACTTAGTTTGAGAAAATTCATCAAATCATACATTTCTGTTATATCTCAATTTAATATTTCAAAAATTCAGTTTCTACATTTAAAAAATTACTCAAGTATATTTGTTGATGATGAATTTAAAGAAATAAGTTTCCCAAACAGTATACCCAATTAAGGATATAGAGAAGTAGAATTAATTTTAGCTTGTTACAGAAAGAATGCATTTTACAATAAGGACATTTTTTCTCTTCCTGCTTTTCTTTTTATTAGCGAATTTTAGCGCCCTATACTGATTTTCACTACAGACATAGTCCAGATACGGCTGAAGGACAGCTCAAGTAAGTATCACGTGTTCCTATAACTTTAAAGATGGCGTGTGTTGCTGTTAAAGTTTTAAATTTGTCTGATTGCATGTAGAGCCAGAACAGTGTGAGTTTGAGTAAATGTATTATTTCATGGAGTTATGTTGTAAGTCTCTGCTAATGTAATTAAAGACTTAGATTTAATTTCTTATTTAAAAAATGTAAGTTATGCTCTGGCTGGTGGCACAATCGTTTGGAGCATCATCCTGTGCACCAGAAGGTTGTGGATTCGATTCCTTGTCAGGGCACAAACTTGGGTTGCGGGTTTGATCCTGGTCAAGGTGTGCATAGGAGGCAACCAATCGATGTTTCTTTTTCTCTCTCTCTCTCGCTCTCTCTCTCCCTCTCCCCCTATTCACCTCTTCTCTTCTCCCTTCCTCTCTCTAAAAATATATCCCATATCCTTGGGTGAGAATTTTCTTAAAAAGTAAGTTAGGCTGCAGTAGAAACCTAGATCTTTGGTAGTTGTTTTTTTTTTTATTGTATGTATTTTTAACATAATTACATTGAGAGACTAAAAGAATGAAATAAGGGGGATGGAATGAAGAGCTTCCTTAACAAATTGAGTAAACAGGAAGATAGTGTAGGTAGAATTTTGAGAGTAAGGTTCAAAGGGAAATAAAAGGAGTTAGAGTAAAGATTATTTTTTAGAAATGAGAGGATAATTTTCAGGGTCTTTTGGGAGAGAAAAGCACATAGTTCACTAGATATTCTAGAATAACCTTTTACTTAATTAAACTGATTCAAAGGTCAAATAATGTACTGTATGTATGACACAATTCCAGTAAATATGCTATGAGGTGTTTTCCTAGTAGGATTGTTGGGTTGCAGACATACTTGCTTATTTTGAGCTGTTGCTATTAAAATTCCTCACTAAGTTTGGAACACTGTGAAATATCCCTATATTTTTATTGTTTTTCATTTTTCTCCGGAATTCAAAACAGTGGTTTTATATCTTTAATCACCTTTATCACTGTGGACTTACCACATCCTAGCATATCATGTCCTGAGCAAAGATGTTCTCTGTTTAAGAAACAAACTCAAAATGGCTAAAGGACTTGAATGTAAGACAGGAAACCATAAAAATCCTACAAGACTCCATAGGCAGCAAAATTGCAGACATATGTCGTAGCAATATCTTTACAGACACAGATCCTAGGGCAAAAGAGACTAAGGAGAAAGTAAACAAATGGGATTACATCAAAATA